AAAGGAATTCTCTTGATGGGGTTCTGTGGTTAGCCATATACTTATTACATTTAACTGATGAAGCATGCTGGCAATTAAGTGGGGTATTTCTGGAGAGAAAGTTCAGGAAGTTATCTCGCTGGCAGGCCATCCCTTTACTAAGAAGTGGGTGAGGCTTATAAAGAGGTGAAGAGGTGACTATGATGATCCACGTTCACTTGATATGCTGCAGGCAAGTAACCTCTGCAGTGATGCCCATGAGATGGGACAGGCCTCTGATGAAGAGGAGAGTGTGCCCAGAGATGATATTCAGCTGGGTAACTACAATTTTCGTTTTTATATTTCCTACAATATTTTATACTTCCTTCATGATACAAATGTTCTGGCAGACAGCCTGAACCCAGATCTCTCAAGGCTAAAATAATTGAATAAAAAATCCCAATTGGAGGCAGGTGATGAGAGCCTTTACCAAAAATATGCATAAGAACACACAGTAATCTCTGACCTCAATTACATTAGATATCTAATCAGGGAATTCTCCCTGAGCACCTCTCCCTTGACGCTTCCATCTGGACACCGAGTTAGATGTCTGGGCATAAGGAAGTTTCCAAGAAATGAGACAATACCTCTATTACTTGCTCAAAATCTCTTCTGGCCCAATCAGCACCAAGACTCCTCTTCTACGAACACTAAAGAGTATGTTCTGTTCAAAAGGCTCTTCTAGCTCTTGTGAAAGACAGATTCCTCTTGTTGGTACATAAAAGGGACTGACGTGACCACTGCCTTCCTTTGCCATGGGAGTGGCAGACTGGGCCTTCCCAAAGAGTGATGCTCTCTCAGTGAGTTTTTTGAATAGCTGAATAACTGAGAGCACACAAAATTCATCATCTATAGAGACTCTGAGCTACCATAGCTCCTTCTCAACTGTCCTGATGGAGTTTTACTACTTCCTGTAGTAAAACTACAGATGGAGTAGATGTTGCCAAAGAACTTGGGGTGGGGGTGTTATTTTGCAATCTCTCATCAAATCTGCTCCAGCTTTGACTGAGTAAAATGAGATTGTACCTAACACTCTAAGTACAAGACATCCCCAAAGAAGTACTATAAAAATCACTGCAAAATGCTAATTCCAAACTAGAGCAGTATTCTCATAAACACATTTTTGCTACATGCCTTAACAAAGCATTCCTCACTATGCAAAGTGGTAACTGCAAACTAGTTGTATTTCTTCTTAATTTGACATAGGCAATATAAAAAATAAACAAACACTCACAAATGCATAAATAACCCATTTTCCCAGGTATTTTGTCTTCCCTAATCCAACATCATGCTCTGCCTTGTCCAAATTGCTTACGCCCCAGCTATAGCTAGGCTGAACTTCTCCGTACATCTTATTTGGGTGTTGATGAAAACATGTGCTTTTAAGTCTGTTGCAACAGACCTGTAATAAGGACACCTCTAACTCTTCTTGGCAGGATTCCTGTGCCTTATCAAGATAACTCAGGGCTCTCCTACTTAATGCGCTTTTGAAATTCCCCTCCCACTGTTGCTTTCATTTGACTTTGTTCAGCTGAGAGCTGTGTCATGTGCAGCCCGGACGGATCCAGCTGTAGTAACGGCATAATTTCCCTCCTTACTGCCACTGTCCAGATCTGCTGCTTTGCTAGGGGTTATCAGCAAAACAGCAGAGTCAGCAAAGGGGATGCATGACTATGTCTCAATTCATAGTGCACTCTATCAGCCTTAACCGAAGAGTAAGGAAAGCATCAGTGAGGACACTGCAGCACTTACTGGGTTGACTCAGTCACTAGCTTTTCCCTCGCTGAAACAGTTTTGGAGGGAAAAAAAATAAAAATAAAAAAAAAGAAAGAAAGAAAGAAAAAAAAAAAACACAACATCCTGTCCAGAGGAGGGAGAGCTATACAGATGAGCAGCACTGCTCTTCAGAATCCAGGAGGAGAGGGAACTGTGCTCTCCCTATGGCCCATCATCCTCCTGCAGCTTAATCTGACGTATACAGGTTAGGTATTAACTGGAAGATCAGGAGACAAACGTTGTACTTCCATCCTGTGAACCTAACAACACAGCAAATTTCATAAGCCTTGTCCTCTGAAAGCAGAATAACTAGTGCAATTTCAGCATCAGCAGTTGTGTTTTTTTCCCCATATATAATGACTTAGGTATATAAGGATCTGCAGTTTGCCAACAGACGCAGAACACAGGTGAATTAACCAACAGATGCATGACGACTTTGCATAAGCACAACATTTTACACCACTCTGAGGCCATGCCCAACAAAATGACCAGAGCCCTGCTTGTAGCAAAACTGGCTATACCACACATATATATGAGTAATTGCTAGCTGAACCAGAACTAATTCTACAAAGAGCTATAGCAATTGTTAGACAAATTGAGTTTGCCATGGCAGATGCTAAAATAATTGCTCAGGGGGATTGCAGGCCATATCTAAGCAGCTAAATCATTAGAAGTGTAATCTTCAGACTGGCAATGGATGAGCAGAGATGGTGGTAGCAAAGAGAGCAGTTTTTTAATCAAACAAGCACTGCTGCCCTTCTTCCTCACCTTCTATTTCCTTGTTTGCATGAAGAATTCAAGCTTCAGTTAATGATCAAATCTGCATGTTTGCTTACTAGCTAGCCTGAACAAATGTTGCAAGGTCTTGGGTCTGGGAAAAACAGAGCATTTAGCTAGTGTATTGTACAGTCATCAGAAATGAAATAGAGGAAGTCACTGGCCCTGCTATAAATCCCTTGCCAAAAGAGAAGAATATTGTTAAATAGCCGTGGCAGTTACTGCTTTTGACTGGCAATACGTTTCCTCAAACATTCGCACAGGTGTTGTCTACTGGCACAGACATCCACAGGAATATCTGCGCGGGTACTTGCAGGAATAAAAATAATTATATTCCATGTGGAGGACTGCTTTACAAAGGATACTTGTATATTTCTTGACTGAAGCAGAGAAAAACTCCCAGGTTACGTGTCTGACTAGTATTAATCAACCCTTGACTCTACTCCCATGCAACTCCTAGCAGAGCAAAGTCTCATTTGTGTCTATCCAGGGCCTCAAAATAGAGGTTACACGTAGGATGCTTGTGGCAAACAGGTCACGTGCTGGCTGTCTGCAGCCATGCATATGTCCCTGCAGAATGAGGTACCACTTGAAGGAGAAAGAGAATTGGTTAGACACTACATTTACTTTGCATTATTATCCAAGATCTGAATGCAGGCTGTTAAAATGGGTCTGTTCCTGAGCATTGATTACTTGTATATTTGCACCTCCAGAACACAGGCACAAAGCAATAAAATAATACAATTTCATTTGGCACGACTGACTGTAGAGGAAACAATGCTTGACATAAACTAGATAAAAATAAATATTAGACACGACTACACCAGACTGCTGCATACCGAGACCTCCAGAGTGCTTTTTATGAGTTCATAAGCTTGGATGTATGCAATAGAAAAGAGTAAAATGAGTTTTGCAGCCAGGTTGCCAACCTTACTCATGCTGAATAGTAGTTCACCTCACACAGGACACAACTCGTTTACAACTCAGCATCTATCAATTACCAAATATGAAAGAGAAATGTTTTCCTACAGATGTTATACAGAAGGTCAGCAAAGGTCAGTAAGGAAAACGAGCCTTTAGCCATCTTCTAAATCTCACAGGGGTTTGCAAACCAGGTCCTCCCAATCTGCTTCTGGAAGTGACAGTAATTCAACAAAGGGTGTAATGGCAAAGACATTGCACTACACACATTTCTATTAAACAAAGAAACAGGTCACTGGATAACATACATGAAGAATTTTCTCATTGGCCCTAAGAAAGTTGTGTACAGATCTAAAAATGGCAAGGGCACAGGAGGAGAATTGGAGATTTTAAATATCAAGTAGACTTTGCAGCCCCTTGGACAAACAAATGGGAAAATCGGTGCCTGCAAGGTTAGAAGATAAAGCTCTGCAAGATGTCCTGAGATGACAGATGTGGGGAACCAGGAACTACCCTGCTCATCCAGCCTTTTCTATAAGATGTTTAAATGTCTTATTTTAGTTATAAGAGTCACGACTAAAAAGTTATAACTAAAAATGAGATGACTAGTGCTCTGGTATATGTACTACATACACATAAACATATATAAACATATATTGAGTGCACTAGCATAATTAGCTGACTAACAGTGATATTGCCATGCTTTAAATCCATTATCTTTTTTTTTTTTTTTTTCCTCAAGCCCCTCTTTCAGATTGCTATTTCTGAAACTAAAGATGGCCAAAGCAATGGCACTACCATGCATTTAGAGGCAGGCAATTTCCAAATAACCATGCTGTAACCTCCACTTTAATCACTTGCTGAAAGACACCATACTGTGCTATTCAAATAATATTTAAATACAACAAATAGGCCCCTTCCATTCAAAAAAAAAAAAAAAAAAAAAAAAAAGGAAGACTGATATCCACTACCAACAGAATACAAGTACAATCCAAAGTAGTCACCCCTGCCTGGTAAGCGATAGAAATGAGACACGTTGCTCAAGGCTGTATTCCAAATGCCTTTTTCCTATGTTTCTTATGCAGAAGTGAGAAAGAAAAACTAATCCAAGTATATTCCATTTTGGACATCTAACACTTTCCTGATCCAAAAGTTATGAAAATTGGTTTATTTTCCAAGCTTTTCTAAGTTTATCACTAGACCTGATTTTTTTTAATTTTATTTTTACCTTGCTCTTATCAGTTGTTTAAACATATACACTCATCCTGATTTTTAGAGTCGAGCTTTTATTAATTCTTCAACTACAGCTGCTCCATGTGTGTAAGGTAAGTCCCCTTCTGACAGACACCTTCTCCTCAGGTCAGTGCTTGGTGAACTTACGAACTTTACACCGCAGTTTGGGGATGAATAAATGGACTTTTAACATGTGTTTGAGATAATGTTTGGAAAATGGCTCACTATATCATGTATTTATTTGATATTTTCCCTACGGACAAGAAGCAACAGACCTTACATTAGGGTCCTGCAGGCTGGAGGTCTTACTGGGATTTACAAAAGAGGTCTCTTCTTTCACAGCCTGTTAAAAGAAGGAGCCAAAGTTTAGTACAACATCCATACACTTAGGATTGTATATATGTTTATTTAAAAATATTCCTGTAAGTACCCCGTGATAATACAATGTCCAAATGCCCACTCTGCCCAGATTTTAAAAGCACGGATTATTATTTTTTTATTATCTCCCACTGCTGAGATTCACTGTGATAAGCTATAATGTACAATGTATAGAGAGCAACAGTGATCAGAAGAGCTTGGGCTGGGATAAAGGAGGAGAAGCAAAGGAATACTGTTATTGTGTTTCACCCAGAAGGCATCTGAGCAGAAATAATAAAAATAAACCTGGGCAAACATGCTGATATTTGAGTTTTTCTTTTAATTGGAGTAAAACAAATATTTATGTAGTCTAAGCAAAATCATGCCAACTCTCACAGCTTTTCATTCAGTCTTTGAAAAATTTTTTGAAAAAAATGGGATCCCCTACATACAATCACACTGCACATGCAATTCACAGAAAATCTCACCCACTACTACTCCCTGCTAAATTACAGAGTCCCGTCTCTCCCATACCATTTGTCTATAGAGTAGAAAATACTACTATTGCAGAATGACTTACATGAAAATTACATGATTACCAAGGAAACACCCAATTCAGGCAGGTGTTTTTAGATTATACTCTTCAACTGAGATGCAGGGTTCCACAACCCACGTGTAAATGCCCATGTCAGGGCAACACTGCACCCCTCTACAGAAAATACTGGCTGAAGACACGAGAGCTCTCCAAATCAGTAATGGACTTGGCAGGCTTTGACATTTCCATTCTGCTAAATGGATAGATGGAGCTGATATAGGCCTACAACAGAGTCATTCTTCAGCTTTCAACATCTGAACCAAAATAATTTGAGGACTCTGGTTGAGATCAAATTGCATTAAACGTGTCAGTCTCATCCTCTTCAAAAAGGACAGGTTCCTTCAAATCAATCAAATCAAATCAATCAATCAAAGGACTTCACAGGCACGTAGAAAATTGTAAATTTGAGAAGACTTTCCATTCAACACAAACTGATATATTCCATTTTAGGGTACTCACAAGAAAAAGAAAGGAAATCAAGGCCTGAGTTTCTTCTTTACATTACTGATGAACTACAAAATACCAAGAGGATGCTCACTGATTGGGGAAATCACCCAAGTTGTGATAGTTTTAGGCCCTTTTCCCCCTTGTGCCGGGGTGCACAACCCCCCATTGCCACTTCACAGGTCGTTATTTACCAGAGCATCAGCCATGGTGGGAACAGGCAGTGCAAGCTGGTACACACAATTAACTGTATGGACAATTAAACTGGGGCCATGGGGAGCCTGGCAGAAAGCGAATTCACTCCTGGGACACCTACAGCCCGGGCAAGTACCTGAGGAGTATTTTGGGGAGTGTTTTGACTGGGGAGTATTTTGACTTAAGTCCCTCTTAGCCCTCCCTGTTAGTTTCTGCACCTTGTATATTAATACTGAAATTGTCATCAATATCATCAGCAGGTCTGTCTCCAGAAAGGAGAACAGGACCTATAATAGGTACTGGAGAAGCTCTACCCCAGCACAGTGCTCTTACATATTTGGATTTAATCTCCTCGTCCAGAAGTTTCTTAAATCCTGGGAGAATGATTTAAATATTAAGGAGTCAGATAAAGGGGTGCCGACAATTACACCATTGTCACCATTGTAACTCAGCCACCAAATGTTTTATAGTTGAAGTGCTCAGTGAATTAGCATCATGTCCTGAATAATTTCAGGACAAGGAGTGTGATTTTTTAATTTTAAGAAATTTGTAATTGTAAGAAATTTAGCTCAGTTCTAGAAAATATTGTTGTTGTTGTTTTGTTTGTTTGTTCGTTTGTTTGTTTTGCTTTCCTACTGGCCACCTAGTAGCTCTGCCTAGACTAATATTTAGTCACAATCTAGTGCTCTCTTGGAAAGAAAGAAGATGTTTTATTTTTTTTAAGGAATTGAGAGAAAGCATTGAAAATCACTTTTTGTTGGCATAGATGAGCACTTAAGTAATTTTTCTTTGTTCTGGAGAAATTACAATGCTTTTTATAAAGCTGTTGGGTTTCTGAAAGCTGTAAACATGAATCCAGCTGTCAGAAACTTAATACACAGTGTCTTCTCGCACACTGATGTCTTAGCAACATTTTATTGTTAAGCCTGACAAGCTAGCTGCTTATTATGCATCAAATTGGCTATCTTTTAAAACCCTAATTTTTACTTTATTCCAATTTTCACCAAATTAATTGAGCTGCATTTTAAGATGCACTTGAACACAACAACAGAAAGGAGAACATGGGGGATGGAAGATGCAATGCAGAGGCTGCAACCAAGAACTGGAATGATTAAAATTCCACCTACTTAAACACCATGAGATCTCATTAGCCAGTTGAGAGGGCTTCATTGTATTATTCCCTAATAACTGGCCCTTGGTTTCTTTTCAGTTCTGTGACTACATTATCATTCTGTTTTGACTTATATGCATTAGAAGGTTAAGCCTGCTTCTCAAGAAGTGGTATACTCCTCAATGGCATGGCCAGCATCCCGAGTAACTTCCCTTTGTATTAATTTTCTCAATTATTACTTGTGGTTTAGAGAACAGAAAAGACTGGTGTACCTACAAATAAGTACTACAAGACTAGTGAGCAAGTAATCTCACTATAAACTGGGGGCTTTCAGCAAATAACACTCAACGACCATGCAAAGACATCCTCCACCTTAATGAAAAGATGTGACCCATAACACAAACCAAGAGTTACACTTGTACACAACACACACACACACTCTCACAATAACATGCCTAGATGCTCTGAGCTCATGTGCTTGGGCCAGGATTTGGATTTCCACTGCACTGTGCTACTCCACCGTGAGTAGGTCTCCATCACCCACAGAGAGCCCAGCACTGAGATGTGTTAAAGAACAAGAGGCAGTGCCATGGAGCTGCTCAGACTCCCCTAGCCAAGGCAGATTCTCCTTCACCCAGAGGTTGCTGCTCTGAGAGGAAGAGGTCTCAGGGCATGTGGGGCATGGCAGACCTGCAAACATCATTTACACAGAATCAGATTAATTTGATAATTACCCAAAGAGAAACAAGCTGGCTCTTCTGGCTACCAGATTTCAAGGCAAACAAAATTAAGTGTTGAGCCATGCAATCCATCCACTAAATATCATTCGCCTTTTCTAATCTCTTATCTGCACTAGGCCCAGAGAAAAAAAAAAAAGTTCAAATTTAATATGCCATAAACTTTCTTGGTAGCACTAGAAACTAAGCTAAAGCATTACTTTCTCAGTCTAGAGACAAGAAACACGCACAGACAGAAACACCATTGTACGGGTTCTCTTCATAGGTGACTGCTAAGAAACATTAGTTTCAACAAAAGATGAAGAGGATAAAAACATTTGAGTAACACCGAATTGTGCTCACGGCTCTCTAAGCAATCTACATACAGGCTGCCAGGCTGGCCCTGACAGTTTTCAGCCTGCTTTTCAATTGAGCTGAGCACTCAGCAGCTCTGATGCTGTCCCAGCAGCCAGATCATTTGGAGCCTTAGAGAGGGAAAGGGACATTCCAGGGATACCACCTTCGGATGCTGCTGAGCTCTCCTAGCAGGAGTGGGAATGCTTTTGTCCCAAAGGAACAATTGTATGTATGAATTCATAAGCCCCACTGGGCTGGATTTGCCTAGTGAAGAGTAGCTCCTTCTATTTTCTTGTGAAGGAAGAGCTAGCCCTAGAAAGATGGGCAACAGGACCTCGAAATGGGATTTGGTTGCACTGGGTGTATGCCGAGTAGGACAATGCAGGAAAGACCAAACTTTGGCTAGCAACCTTCCAGATACTTCTGCACAGCCAATTAATTCTGGCTGGGACTTTGGGCTGATGAGCCTCCAACAAAGCACTGCATAACACAGGGCTCCAGTCTTCAAAGTTCAACCAAACGTCCAGGGGAGCTAGTGCACTGTGTGTCCCTCCTCCACCACAACGGGAATCGCTGCAGCTCTCGTCTAATCCACAACAGGATTAATTTGAATCAACAAAAAAAGGCTTAATGAAGAAACTGATTGCTGCAGCCAAGAGTGAGGGTCAGGTTCTTGTCTGAGAAAGAGAGAGACTGAAAGGATCTTATGAAACACACGATGTCTTTTACTTAGCAGTTTCACAAAGTTCTCAGCGACAGAAAGGAGGGAGGAATGTCACAGCTTTCACATTTGGAGATCTTCAAAGGTAAAGAAGCAATGGTCTCAGTGCAGTGGTCTGGAAGCATTTCACCTTGTTGGCCCTTTCTACCTGTGTGATGATGCTAAGCAGGCCTGATGCCTAACAGGTTTTTCAGCTCTTTATCAACATTTTTGTCATTTGTCAAACACGCTGATTGTTGGCTGTTCTCATTAGATAATATGGGCTAAGCAACACATCACTGGGAAAAACATCCTGCCAAGGTAAACCTACCTTGGTGATTTAATATGTCAAACGAATCATTTCAGGCAGAAAAACACAATGTTTAAGTCTCTTGGGAAGGGACCACTGATTTTTGTGATTTTTGTTTTTTTTTTTTTTTTTTCCCCCTGAGCAGTGCCTAGCACCACACATCTCCCAGGCTATGGCAGGGCTCCAGCACATCACCACAATTAACAGCACTCGTCTGATCACGTACTGGCACTAACAGACGTGCCAGCGAGAAGACGTAACCCACATATCAACGTGTTGTCACAGTCTTGTGACACCGCTGCCGCATTTGCCTCCAGCATCCCGGGGAATAAATTAAAGATTTCCCTCTTTCCAACATCCTGTTTATTTAAATCCTCCCTGCCCTCCTCAGCAAAGCTGAGGCATCTTTTCCTCTGTCTTTGAGGTAACATGGCTGACACACTTACAGTGAGCTTCCGTGTATCATATATTGGTCATCCTGGCCGACACGCATTCAAAAACTTGTATTTTTATACCTCTGACACCTTTTCTTTCCTGTAGCCTCGCTTTTAAAGCTGAGCAAACCTGTTTCCCTTCAGAGACTGAAGGCAGGGAATGTGAAGCCGAGCCATTTTTAAATTCCATTGTTATGAACAATTATCAGCAACGTGATGTGCACTGGCTGTTGTTCGAGCCGAGAGTCCCAGCGCGGTTGCTTCTCTTTACTTAGCCCGAAATCTGCCGGAGCGTTTATTGCTCATCCACCTGGGTGACTAACAGCAAGGGCTTCGGCGAGGCACCGCGTACATCAGGAGCTGCACAAGCTTCCCCCACAGCGTGAACACCTCAGCTGTGACCTGCTGCACGCACATAAACCCGGTCCTGATCTCCACACAAAGACTGACAAATCGTGGGGCTGCTCTGTGCCGTGAATAAGGATGAGCAGAGGGAGGGAGGAAGGAGAGGGAAGCAAACAAGATCTAACTCGTGATGGAAAGAGGTTAAAATGTTGGAAAAGCTGATGGTTTCGACGTACTTAAGTCAACATCTAGTGAAAGCTGAGACCACCTCTGGGAATCCAGAAGAATTTGTTTAAGTCCTATTATAAGAAAGATCGCCCAAGATTATAAATCCTCAAGTGTCTCCCCCTTACCTACTCTATTTTCATTCATGACCTGATTAGGGCTGGAATCCAGATCCCCTTACGTGAATAAAGCTCCAAAGACTCAGCTTATATAAAGACAGTGAATTTTTTCTAGGAGCACAGGGCAAACACACCCAGACTTTCACGCTGACAAGGCCTTACACTTACATCTTTCCTTAAAGGGCAAAGCACAACGAAAACAGAAAAGAATCATCAAAAATGTAGCCAGGGAAGACTAGCACCGTGAGTCACCTCACTTATGCTACCCTTTCTGCCATAAATAATGCATAGGTCCCAGTCTCATTTACATTTGTAGCCAAGGACTTGCATCTACGTGGAGCATACAGGCTGCAGGGTGACACCTGTACCCACACACGTCCCAAGACATTTTCTGGATGAGGCAACCTGAGACAGCACAAGCAACCTGCACTTCTTCATGTATTTGTAAAACTTAAGGCAAAACTACATTATCATCAGTCTGTACCTGCTTCTAGGACAGGGAGGAAAAGGAGAGATGGCTATCGATGCTGACCTAAAAATTTACATGTGTATAAGCTTGTGAAGAAAGGCAGTGTGTGAAAGGGGCCAGAGGAGTGACTGTCCCTTTGTTCAATGTAAATATCCCTTTTCTGACAGAGAATTAAGGCAGGGGAATCAACTGCTGAAGAACCCAAACCTGGCTGAACCCAAGGATACCCCACCTTGGCCAAGAGTTTCCCTTGGGGCTGATAAAGCAGGAGCGGAGATGTAGGGCATTGGCCAGTAGTACTGTGTGTGAGAACAGGAGGAGGAAATCCCAAAGAAAAGGCAGAGCAAACAACCTGAGGAAGAGCTGGGAGGGAAGCCTAGAGCCCAGCTCCTGTGGTCAGTACTGCTTTGAGCAGTAAGCCAGGAAGCTCTTGTTGTGCTGATGGGAGTAGGATTCTGCACGCTCTCTATAAATAACTCCACATATCCAAACTACCTTTTCCCACCAGTTTTCTCTTAGAAAGCAACCCACAGTGCTCAGTGAGGAACAGCTTAGTATGGAAGGGGCAATGTCACCTCTGTTTTTGTCTTCCACAATTGCACTGCAAAAATGTGTCTTAAAAATGAGCTTGGCCTTCCTTGTCTGCAGAGGAGGATGCAAGGCATGCAAAAACCAGCTGTGGCAGAAATCTCTGAGAAACAGGAGCTCAAGTCCTTCGTGATGATAACCTGCTAGACTTACACCAACACAAGGATTTTGGAAAGCCTGGGTAACAGGTGGAGAATACAAACACCACTTGCAGAAGACGAACAACTAAAACACAACACACATTCTCCGCCAAAAGAAAAAGCCCTGCTGAGATAGTTGAACATTTGATCAAGAGCCTGTGCTTAATTCCAAGGATAATTAGGATTTGCCCAGAGCCCAAGAGGGTATAAATAGCAACTAAAACCTGCTGGTGTCTTTTGCCCATCAGTTGGACCATGAACCATTTGGCAAAAGGGACTCTTTGTGATACTAACAAGTCATCTGATCAACCACAGCATATCAGCACTGACTCATGCAAGCTGCAAAGGGGTTTTAAATGCCAGGGAGAGCTGGTCTTTTGTATTCTGGCAGCTCCTCATCGCTGCTTTATACCATTCGCTCTCAAATGAAGTCTGGAATAAATGAAAAAAAAAAAAGTATGAAAAAAAAAGTAAAAATGTCAGGCGGTTTGCAGTGTTTAGTGCTCCCCTGGAGCTTAATTATGTGGGAACTGTGATATGCAGTCTGTCAGCTGGAAGGTGGCAGACCCCCGTGGCACAGTTCGAAGGGTGTGTTGTGAAATGCTACTGGTTTGCTCCAGACCTAGAGATACCTACAGGATGGCATGCCCCGTGCGAACGGTAGATTCCCACAGTCACGTGTGGGTTCCTCTCGTTTCTCACCTGTGGTGTCTGCAGCAGTGTGCTCCTGGATTCGGTTCCAAGCATCCCCATGCACGCTGTAGTTTGATTCTCCAGCTAGCAGAACGGCACATAAATATTTCCATCTTCACCAAATAAACAAACTCGCTCCCGTTAGTTTCCTGCTGCTCCATAACTCTGAACCACATGCGGGGCTCAGTGATTGGCACCATAAACTTACAAATTTTCAGTCTCTAAGTCAGCACTATTGCCATGGGAGATGGTGCATTGCCCCCTAGGAATGTGATAAACAGCTCTTCACCATAATTCTGAAATGAGGCACTGCAAAGACCATCTTGCAGTATGTATTTTCAAATGTATTGCATAATTTTCCCTGTTTTTATATTTGAGACCATGAGTATTGGAATCATTAATTTCTAAGTCTCTCTCTTGTGTTGGTGTCTAGTTGCCAAAAAGAAAGAAAACTACATAAAATTTCCTGCCTCTGTTTTTATTTTCCACTCACAAACATTTACTCCATTCTCAGTATTAACAAGGAACATTTTCTTCTACTACATGCAGGAGATGCCTTTATAATCTTGTCACATCCTGATGTTAGTAGCATATGGTACTGAAAATATTCCCATTGCTTAGAAGAGAGAGCTGGTACAAATATTTCAAGCAACAGTTTGGCAATTTTGGGTCTGATCCTACAGTGCACCAATATTTTTTTCACACATTTACACCTAAATATGTAATGAAGATGCCCTCGTGAAACTTCATAAAGGATGGGTCAGACCACAGACTTTTGGGGATGTTCAAAAAATATATTAGTAGATATTCTATCCAGCCATTAAGAAAACATTTTATCTCAAACATTGTGTGCATAAGACAGAGTCTGGTTCTTTCTTCTTCCTTTTACAAGGTAGAGGGGAGCAAATCCTCAGCTTCTTGTGGTACCGTGAAATAAAGATCTACGCCCTACATGAGGAAAATTGGCCTGTCTTGCATTACAGCAACTGAAATACAGACTGTCCTTTGTAGAACCTAGATATACTTCTTGCCCTGGCTGCCCTGTATATTGAAATATGACAATACAGAAGACAAGAGATGAGAAATTGGAGGGGCATGCTTTTAAGAATAAGGCCAGAAGGCAGGACTTCCCAAGGATTTACCGGAGTCAAAAGACAGTGCAGGGCAGAGGGCAGCAGGGTTAGTCCTCCAGAAGTACTGGGCAGCAACAGGTATCAGATATGGTCAAACAGGGGCATGATCACAGCCCTGAAGGAATACATGGAGTTCAATGACTGTCTGCCATGGAGAAACTATTTCTTAGCTGCTCCCTCAAAAGGATGCTCCAAGTGTCTCTGGGCAGTTAATGCCATCCCCACTCTCTTTTCCCTGAAGGTGACTGAATTGCCACTGGGAAATGGTTTAGCTACTGGTATCCAGTTAGTTTTTCATGGAGGTGGGAGCAGAGGAGATTACTGGATGATTTTATGGCATGCTGGTAAGGTGGTTTATCGGGACCTTCATGTAGCCCCCTCTACCCTCTTGCTTTCTAGGTGATAGATGGTAGGTTTCTTCTCCCTCCTTCACAGTCTACCCTTTTGTCTATCATTCCCAGCACTTGTCTAGCTACAGCTTCTTACTGTAACAGCTCACCACTGCCTCATCTCTGCCTACTTATTTTTGCAATGCAGCTGGGAAGGGTAATCATTCTCACTCACATGTGACAGGAGGGGTGCGAACTCATCTCAGAAGCACAGGCAATTCTGTGGCTAAGCAGGGAGCTGAATGAGGATTTCCAAGACCAAGGTGACATCCTAACTTACTGGCTACCACTTTAAACCATGCTTCTTTAGCGTTGAAAGCTAGAGGGATTTCAAGTTGAACTGCATGCCATTATATTTGCACAAGATGTGCCATCCTGTAGCAGTCATCCTTCCCCTCCTGAAATCATAAGGCTTTTCTCAAGGGGGCAAGCATACAGACGTGTACTTAATCCAACCTGACTGCTAGAGCCTTGTGCAAAACAACACAGGTGAAGGAGAAGGAGAAAAGGGACGCTCAGCTTGCTCCGAAACTTATTTACAACATAGCAGCAGCTGAAGAACACAGTTATGGCATGATGAAAAAGCAACCCGGGATGTTCTCTTGGAAAACCTCAGGGTGAAAATTAAGGCAGGGCAGGTGAATTGAGAGATGCATATGCTTAGCACATTTCCTTCTTGCCTCGGTAATGCTGTACTCTGAATGCAGCGGCATGCACAGCTTCCAGTCTTTAACTATCCAATCAAACGTGATCATTAAGCAAATTTGGGGGAAAATACAAGCGTGAGAAATATACCATGACATCCTATAGATAAAGGACGTACAGGAAAAACAGAGGGCAAATCCAAGGGCAATCAGACAAGAAACAGGCTGCATAAAACACAGCTGATATAGCGCAGAACTCAGAAAGAGGTGATAGAACTGCTTTAAGAAAAAAAAAAAGAAAAAAAAAAAAAAGAAAAAACCCCAACCTCCTTCCCTCACATGCTGCCAGATTTATGGTTTCTGTTCTTGAAATCTAGAGCAGTCAGAACAACCAAATTTTGATACTTCCTTAGGTCTATCTAAACCAGATGTAATCTAGTTCTCAGATGAAAGATCTGCCAGGGAAGGGAACAACAAATGCACAAATATGATTGTTAACAAAATCCTTCGCAGGGCAAGTTGACCTGCTATGTTATTGTGAAAGGAAACAAAGCAACGGCAACACCAACATAATCTGTATTCAAAGAGAATAGTATGCACAAGGATACCACAGGAGCTTGGGATAAGCCATATCAATCCTTCTGTCTCTACTTTTGTTCCCGAAGCATTCTGTCTGGCTTTACTTTTGGCACAAATAGCATTATCTTCTGTCTGCTAATTACACTTGCAAAGAATCATGGATTTTAGGCTTCACTTAGATGTACCTCTGACTAGGAAATCATATTGTTACAGTCTTGCTATCCAGCAGGAGTTTTCAGTTGCATGACAATATTGCAAAACTTGCTGTGGTGTTTTTAAAACATGCTCTGTCTAAACACTGACCAAGCAGTGAAAATAGCAGCTTGAAATTTAGTAAAAGGCACTCAGACAAGTAAGAAAGCAATAGAGTAGCTAACATTTCACATTAGACATCTGCAGTTAATACCCTAAAAAAAAAAAAAAGCTGCATTTGGATGCATAAAAATTATCTTTATAACATCCTTAACAATAGTTTCCATGGGTGGTGGGCAGCCTCAGAAAACCCCAGAGGTTCCTGCTTCTCAGCTGCAAAGTAAGCAATAGCTAGAGTGACAGAACCAAATTGTGGAGATTTCCTGGGGCTTTCTCTCCTATTTCCACAGCCTCTCTCAGCTGTATTAATCTCATCAGGTAGGACAAATTTCCTATTTCCATCATATGGATCATGGTGACATACCTGAAGAAAGTGTGGAGCAGCTAGAGAAAGCTAGGTCAGTGTGGTCACCCTGATAAAATAAGGTGTTTCTTCAGGAACAATGTGGTTTTTAAAAATTGTTGTAAACTATGCCAAAATTAGGAATTGGAAACATCAAACACAGATTACCTGGGTGCCTACTCTAAAAGCAGCTTCTACTTGAGCTTTAAGGATGTTGCACTTCATGTGATCAGGTACAGAGGAAGGTGACACAGGGGCATGAAGGGTCTTTTCAGGTACCTTTTTCTCTTCACCCTGTATTTTATGTAAAAGACAAGTACAGTGAAATATGTTAGATGAATATGTTAACAAGATTGCCAAAGGTCAGACTTCTAGGTGTAATAACTTGATTCACCAATATCGGATAAAAAGTTAGATGTTAATACCCTGATAAATACATTTCACAATAAAAATTCTCAAAACATTTAATGACTTGATACTTTTATCATAAAGAAAAAAAAAAAAAAAAGTCACCAGAGAAGTCTGAGCAACAGAAGCAAGAAACAGATGTAAGGTGCTAAGAAGCATGGAAAAAGCTCAGCCAGGCTCTGGAGTGGTTGCCAAACCTGTGATCATGCCGAGGAAGCAAAGTACTGTCTTCAAAACATCCCAGGCAGGTAGAAGTGGGAAAGTTTCACAGCACTAAACTATGGTGAACATCGCTTTCTTATACCCCTCTAAGAATGTAAAGGGGCTTTGCAAATTTAACCAGAGAGATTTGAAGCTGATCTCCATTAATTGCAAGCCACGCAAAATCTCCTTTATCAAAACCAGAAAAACCCAGGAAGTTTAAACATTGCTGCTGCTGCTTCCGCTTGATGTCAACCCCTTGCCTACTCAATGATCTGGATCAGAAATCTAAAGCCTCGGGACAGCTAGCTTAGTGACCTGTTCAAACATGACCTAAAGGTTTTGTGCCTTGAACAAACAACATCCAGCAGAAATGCCAGCATGAATAAACTTCCCATGTAGAAAAGAAAAAAAAAGAAAAAAAGAGAAAAGAAAAGGACAATGTAATACTAATGCATAAACAAACGGTATGGATGGGACCAGGCTTGTAAATACAACCTTTTAACCTACCAAACTGTGGTTTCTCATATATTTTTAGAGAAGAATTGAACAATGGCATAACAGTCATTGCTAACTTTCCTGTTCCTACTGGAAATGAGACCTGAATTACAACCGAATGATGGCTTAGGTTATGCATTCATTTTTCTTGCATCGCTGCAGAGAGCGAGCAGCTGCATATGCCTGGACAGAACAGACATATAAAGCCGTCATTCAGATCTCACTGTGCTTCCTGCTAACCTGTCCAGCTGGAACAGGTACAAGGCATCAGTAAACCAGGTTCAGAGTACCCTTGAGGTTAAACTCTAGCAAAGTCGTTCAAGACAGAACTGGCACATTTTTACCTATTAATTTGCCATATGATTGGCCCTTAAACTTCAAAACCTGTCTTCTTTATCCTTCCTTCTGCACTCACCTTCACTTCTGCACTCTTCTCAGGTCTGAGAAGAATCACAGACAAAAAGGGGTACACTTTATGCAAGTTGAGAAAATCACAACTGGAATTACACTGCCTGAGATTATTCTGCAAACACTACAAGGGGAAGAGACAGATCTCTGCAGAACTCTGTTGAGACTACAAGACATTTCTTCTGTGTACGCACAGTTGGTCTAGCAGGCTCCTGCATCCGAAATGTCATAGCTGCCAGGTATGATTCTGAACAACTTTCTGCTAACAAATTGACCATCCTGAGATTTTTTTTTTGTCCTCTTTATTCCTTTTTTTTTTTTCTGTAATAATTCTTATATGTTTATTTGCCAAGCCACATTTACTATTTTTAATGGAAGATATTTTTGGACATTTCATTCTCTTCACATTCTTCCTAAGGGAAAAAGAAAATACTTAAAATGAAAAGTGACAGCTTCTGACTGGAGCAACTTATGGAACTGTAGCCATCTATTTAGTCTTGAATACAACTACAGTTCTGGCAAGCATCTGAAAAAGAAAAAAAAAAAACTATTCATTTGTCAGGTGTTTTTTTCTGGGATACTGATGAAACTATGAAGTGGAGATAATCAAAAGGAAAAAAAATGAACTGTAATGAAAGCACAACCTTTCCTCAAAGTACAGCCTTGTAGCCACAGTGCACTCCTATACTCTTCAAAAGAGCTGTCATCATTGTCAACTTTTAATAGCTTTGATTTCTAACAGCAGAAAGAATAATGCACTAAGCAATGGCATTTCCAAAGGCTATGCAAAATCACACCTCTGTTTTAACACTGGATACTAATTAAATAGCATTCCAGCCAAGCAAGATTAAGCAACTGCATTTCACTAGCTAAATCAAGTTAACCTGATGCTTGTTTAGGACACTAACTTGTTTCATAACTTGAAAAGTTCCTGTCCACATTAATATTTTTCAGTCCTTATGTTCTTCTCCTCCTGCCCAACTTCCCCACATTGCCTAAGAGAAAGACAAAGGCCCTCAGAGCTGTCCTGAAGCTGGGAATCCCCCAAAGGTCCAAACCTCCTGCTGGTCTCAAGATCACATCAGCCAATTTCACCTAGTTGAGTCTGTCACCACGTGGGGTCTGATGCATGAGTCTCACCCTGAGATTCTCATAACCGGAGAGGTTCAAATGCTTGGTGGGAAATGGAAAGGAATGGAAAACCTGCAGTGGAAAACGGAAAAATGCTGCCACTGCAGCTTATAGCCTTTTAAGAAACCATGCCTGGGCACTCGGTTCTGCATCAGCCCTTGTTTGGGTCATCCTACAAGGGTTTCAACCTTCAAGCAAGCAAACTTGCTTTGCTTGCACCCTTCCAGGAGCAGCGGCAGCTCTGGTGACTGATCACACGTGAAGAGCAGACACTGCTGCAGTCGGCTGCTTGGCCTTGTCCTGCTCCCCGGATGCTGAGCCAGCAGCCCAAGGCCCCCACCTCTCCTTGCCCCCTGAGGAAATGTGACTGCATGCAAATGCCACATGGGGCTTGGGACTGCTCGACTTGACCCAGATCTCCTCTAGCGTCTGAACGTATCTGAAAAGGCAAATGCTTCTTTGCGTAAAAGAGTTTCTGCCACAGTGCAGCACACCTGAATGATCACTGAATTCAGCTCTCACACAGCTGATTAGCTCAGGCTATTAAACACACATTTGCAATGGCACCAAAGATCCAGACTTAAAATGAACTCCAATCACAGAATAAAGTAGTATCTCATTACTTCAAACTATTAGCGTTTCTAAGCATCTATGGAAGTTCCTATTGTTCCTTAATGTCGCTAATCTATACATATAACCCCGTTCCTCTCCTAATTCAACTCCTGAAGTGTAATTGTCATTGAGAAGGAACAAAAAAAATCATAATTACACAAAACCACACGGTACCTTCTATAGTTCATTTTGCTAGTTCATTAGAATATCAAAGATCTAAAACCTGACTGCATTATGGAGTCTCTATACACTACTGCTGCAAGAATGAGAGCTGTAATGTACTTTATTTTTCCATGGAAAAAAGAAACCTCATGTTTCCAGAATTCTTACTGCCTGCAATGATGAGTGAAGCGTATAGATAGCAGCTGGGTATTCAGATGTTGTACCAGGTTGGCAGGTATTAAAGTTTTATTTTCATTTATAAAGTAAGAGCACTCAGTGAGGAACTTATTAGAAGACTAAATACAGCATAGTGTTAATGAAACTTCCAATTTTATCATTTCTTTATTATGTATTTCTGAAAAATCTGAGATGCTGATTTCAAGTGACTATCTGAGAGTTAAACTTACATTTGAAATAAATGATCTTCTTGCTTAAACTTGCAATCTAAAGTCATCCTAAAAGGTTTAGAAATGAGAAAAAAAGTCCATAAGTGTTAAGATACCTGACGACACTCCAATTTTCCAACTCCAGTTCTTCTGGCACTATAAAATAGCAATGTGTCATATCACTTTCACCACTAAAGCAGAATTTTACTTTTTCCAGAGAGGGAAAACACTGGAGAATTGAATTAAATGGGTTTGACAGAAGTAGGATGAATAAGCTCATATATATATATACATAGAATACTAGATGCCTTTTTTTCTTTTTTATAATTGAGGTCTTAGATTTGCTTTACTCTTCCCAAATATTTACTTTAAATTCAATTACACTCCCTGATGCTAGAATTGAAGGCAGATTTGTACAGTGTTAGATAATGATGACACTAGCTTTGGTTTGCAAAGCTAACTGAATATTAAGTACACATACAGAATACTAAAATGGTTGCATGAAACACAGCAATACCATTCTTGTACTGAACATTTCCATTCCTTCTGTTCTGAAAGGTTCATGCTTTGCTCCACATCAAACTTTTTACCAAGAGCAAGAATCATGATCCTTTGTCTCTGCCGATTTATCAGTGCTCACTTCTTAGCCAAACAGTGGATTTTATGTGTATTAAACCCACTGGCTGGAGACTTGTGAAGAATCAATGAATCACCTACACTTGCCAACATGCTTGAAAATCTAATCATGAAAATCACTTCCTTCTCACTAGGTGATTTATATAACAATTTCTATGCGATAACTAACAATTATGAACAGACATCATTGTGGTAAGACCTGTATGATTATGTGTTATTTTTATTTGAGATAAAGTCTGCAAACAGAAGCTTAATTTTTTTTTTATTAGAACAATATATTTGGAAAAAGAAACAAAGCAAAAAAAAAAAATCAACTTTAAGCTGTCAGATACACCTAGACCTTCTCCCGGTCAACTGCCGCTTTGGTCTAATGAAAGATACAACTCCCAATAAATCTTGTCTTGCTTATATCCTTGAAGCAAACCTTTGACTCCCGGTATCACATGTATTTTATAAAATGCTGTTGCTCAATGTTATTAGACTTTGCCCCTGTCAGTACCAGGCTTTATGACAGCCTTACTGGGCTACAGTAGCTGTGTTTCCCTGAGTATGTCCTCTCTGACCCATGTAGTAAAGAGAAGAGTCAGTGGGACACAAGTTTTGAACAGTGTGCAAGGCCGCAATATTGAAGCTTGTCAGGCTTCCCGTCTGGACCTTTCCTGACCTGCCTGCTCTTTGTTTTACTACACCTAGTTGTAGCAACAATCATTTTATACAGACAACAGTAAAACAAGCAGTCATTCGTTGTAGAAAGAGATATTTATGGCTACTGTAATGATGTAGTATAAAGCAATACAGGCCTGGTATGGAAACAGAGGCCTTGTGAGGTGGAGGCACAGGACGTGCTGAGGAGGAGCGCAGGCATGGGATGGTAACAGAAGGGGCTGCAGGCTGGTGCTGGAGACCCCCTGGTTATAAACAACCCACCAATGGCCAGTTAAAGAAATGCAGACCTGGAGCTGGACAAAACTGGGTTTAGGGGTAACGAAGAGAACAGAGACAAAGTAGCTAGCACGTGTAAAAGCCACCACATACAGTAAATTTGGATGCAATGTGAAGCTGCAGGATCAGTGAAGAAAGAGCAAGGTGTAAAAGTGTGTTAGCAAAAACACAATGAAGGCCCCAAGCAGATCCTAGAACGAGGAAGAAACCATCAACATGAATATCACATCCCCCCTGCTGAGGTACTTACCATAGCACCCCTTCTCCCCACTACCAGCATGAAGCCTCTGACCTTGGGACTCAGGGGCACAGAGGATGGGTGAGCATAACACCAGTGAAAGGGGTAGCTGTATCATAATTCTTTCTTTTTCAGTAATCTGGACTAATAATGATTAGGGTCCAAAGATTTCAGAAATCCTAATTATAAATATTTGGCTTTATATATATATATATGTATATACACACATACACACACAT